GGCAAAGTGTTGTCTTTGTAAAATTGTTTTTTTTTCTTTCTAAATTTAAATGTATAGTTTTGGGATGTATTATTTAATAATTATGTTGTTTTCTTTACATAGAACATTTTTGAATAAAACTGAAAATTATGATTTTATTTATCACAATTATAAAAGAAAAAGAAACTCCAAGACCTTTGTTTGGAATATAGGAAATCCTTGTTAGGACTTGGGTTAGTGGATTTCCCCCCATTCTTATCCGCCTATGATTTTCCTGTTATTTTAGTTGTTAATGGTTAAGATTAGGTTTAGAATTGGGGATCACTTCTCTAGAGGATGAACTTTCTGTGCCGTCCTGTGACAAAGTGTGCCTTGGTTTATTTTTATTTTGAGAGGAGTATTAAGGGCTGACCTTGGGCCATTATTAAATTCAGGGCTGAGCAAGGAACAATATTCTTGTGAGTTATTGTGGCCCTGTGCATAGGCTACCTATAATTCTCCAGGCACACACCTCTGTTTCCTCAGCTGCTTCTATGGAAGATCAATAATGTCATCATCCCAATGCTCTTAACCTGAGCCTGAAGAGAATAATCTCTGTATGATGACTGTATTTCTGTCCAGTGATTAGAAAGATGAAGACTCAGCTGTATGACATTAGTGCAACAGTTGGTTTAATGTGTAATGGACAGTTTATCAAAATAAGTGCACCCACACTTAACTAAACACATGTGTAGTAGTCCCACACAATGCAACATAACTCAGGCCTCAGACACACACATATATACACACACACATATATACACACACAGACACAAACGCTAGGCGCTTCCTTCCACAAACTTCTCTAATTGTATATAAGCTGATAAACAGGAAAACCTCTCAGAATAAATACTCCCACACTTCATGCTGTTCCTGGAGGCAAAAAGAGAATCAACTGTGTTTTTTCAGCCCTGGGGATACTTTCCCCTCTGTGATATTTTAGTCAAATGAACTTGCTGATAACCCCATCCAGCCTTTCCCCAAGCATCTTAACAGGAAGTGACCTCGCAATGGTGTTAACCCTTGAACTATCTAGCATACAGGCACGCACACACACATTCACGCGCCTCTTCTGACCTCTCAGAGCTTAGAGAGTTAGATTTTATTACATGCTGTGATGTCACCATCCCCTCTGCTCCTTTAAGACTCAGAGGAAACCTAGTTATTAAAAAGCAGCTGATAAAATCGACGGCTGCTCCCACCTTGTGTACATCCACAGACACTCAGGGGTCAGAGGTCAATCTCTCACACATTTGCAGGTTGACGTGACTCTTGGCACTCATAAGGTGAAGTATATTATTAATAGTCCAAGGGATATTGCAAATCTAGGGGTGGATGGACAGTATTGTTATGATGAATGTAAACTTTGAGTAAAATATACTGATTAATCTCCTAAATGTAATAAGTAGATGAATGGAGATTTAAATATGTATGTATATCAGGGGTGTCCAAACTCTGTTCTGGAGGGCCTGCAGAGTTTAGATCCAACTTGCCTCAACACACTTATTTTCTAGTATGGCTAGTAAGACATTGATTAGCTGGTTCATGTGTGTTTAATTAGGATTTAAGCTAAACTTTGCAGGACGGTGGCTTTCCAGGAGCAGGACTGGACACCCTGATGTATATCATTGAATTGGGTTGGGTTTACATTTAAAAATAGATTTAGGTTTGTTTTAAAGGATATAACACAAAATGAAAATTAGGTCATCATCTACTCATCCCTGTCTCATTTGTAATCCACAGGCAATAGAAGATATTTTGTGGAACAGCAGGTTGTTCTTTTTCATAAAAAAAACACCCTAAAGTAAATCAAAACTGGTGCATTTTTTTTTGTCTTTTTTGGACAAAGGTTTGACTGCCCCTGTGGTCCCTACATGCATTTGGTATATGGAAAAGAGCAGTGTGAACAATTTTGGGGTGAATTATCCATCCAATGTCATTGCTGGGGGAGATGGAAGGTTGTTAGCATTTAGATGTGGTTAAGATGGTTTTTTTGTGTAGAGTTGCTTTTGGTATAAGACTTGCCCTGATTAGAGCGGTGGAAAAGTCTATATTTTAAGGCCATTTGGAACAAAACAACCATTAGAGCAGTGCATTATGGGAAATTTACTTTCTGTCTCCTCTATACACACAAAAAGTAAATCAAAAGAGGTTGCTGAAGGGAACATTTACCTCATGTTTCATGGTTTAACTGCAGAACTGTAACCATCCCCTTCTGAACCGCTGGTGAGGTTTATTTAACACAAAACATTTTGTCTACCGCTTCGAATTCTGTTTTGATGTACCCACCAAGACTGGCAGTCTAACCCTATTGGAAAAAAAGTGTCCAATTTTTCTTTTCCATTGCGGTATTTTTCTAACATCCTGACTTGGTCATATGACCCCATTACCTTTTCACTCTGAGAATCCAAGACCAAGATTCTTTTACCAGGCCTGAGAACACGGCAGGTGCCACTTCATTGGTTCTGGTCCTGCTGCTGCTGTGGTTTAGCTACATCAGGCTGGCCGAGCAGACTTCCTGTCCCTTGCCAGTAATGAAGCTCTGAACTGGGTCAGTTGTTTATGTCTGGAGCACCTGAGCTAGCCACAGACTGCCTTAGACGTTTGCTGAAGTAATCTGAATCAGGTCAGTCCAGGGAGCATTAAAACTTCTCTCTACTTTGAAAAAAAAAATAGATAGAAGAAGAGAAAGAAAGAGAGGAGTTGGGGAATATGAATTGAGGTTATTTGAACGGCACAAGGAAACCATTGTTTTTAAATTCAACCTCAATCTTCTTCTGTCTGCCAAGTAACCTTGTCCTCTTCAAGATCACTATGAAGATAGAGAAAAACTGTCATAAAATGATTTGATTTAAGCCTAAATTAAACATATAATACCCAAAGATTAGTTTCTCTTCTGGAAAGCGATTCCAGGTTTCTCCCTCCACATTTGTATCCTGTTCAGCCCACCCCTGTGGACCCTTCCTTTCCCTCGTGCCAGGGTTCTGTGTGGGCTTACCTGTCAGGGAGGCCCCTCTGTGCCTTTCCTGCAGATATGAAGCAGCATTATTAGTGCTTTTCAGAGCGTAACTATCCCTATGCAGAGCCAAAGCCATGAGTTAAATACATACTGCCTCTTGGCTTCAAATTTGATCTGGACAGAGAGATTCTGGGAAAAAAAATAGAAGTTGGTCTCTAACTGTAACCGTTGATCTGTATTCTTTGTTTGGGTGGGTTTGCTCTATGGCTCTGTTTCTGGTTGTGAAACAAAATGTACTGTATAAAAGTTTGGTGTCTTTTAAAGATTTGAAAACTTTTATTTAACCCTGTCACGCATACGATCACACCGGTGTGATCAGTCTTGGCTGGTCTCTGGAGCGGACGATCACACCGGTGTGATTAGAACGGTCAGTGCATCACGTCAGCAACTGCTAAATTCAAACTTGCTGGCGCTGAGCCAGAGACGGACGCCCTCAGTGCTGTCATATATCACAACTATTGAGTGTTTTCAACCACATAATGTTTATTTTAGGTTTCAGACATTTAAATACACATAAGTACTGTAATGATTAAGGAAACGAGTGGGATTAATACGCACGCCCCTTAATCAGAATGAATGGAAGCGTCTAATTAAATGAATGTGTACAGCTGATATGGGAGGAGTCGAGGTCTATTTAAGGGATGGTTTTGGAGTATTGCGAGAGGAGGTCCGGGGGAGCTCACACTTGTGGGAAACGCTAGACGGCCGCTCGGGATAATTAGTGTCTCCGGCGGTGAAGATAGGCAGCTAGTGGGGGGTGATTGTGCTAGGTAGTTAGGGTTTTGAATATGATCCAGGATAGGGGAGCTCCTGACCGATGTGACAACTCAAGTGCTGCGCCTACCAAAGTGTCTCAACCTCCTCACTGAATGTGGACTGCTTCGATCGCGGTCGATTAAGTGTGCGCCTGGTAAAGCGTTCTCATCCTCATCGGACGTGGACTGATCTGACTTCGGGCTAATAGGCCGGCCTACAACCTAAATCAGGGGGGTAACGTGTTTTAACAGATGAAGTTGTATTTTAGCACTTAATAAAGAGTTGTGTGCGTAATTGCCATCTGTGTGCTGGTCTCTGCCTTCTTTGAAGTTCGTGCGGTTGTTACAGTACTAACAAAACAATGATTCTGAGTTTGTAAAATACACACTGATGTCTATGGAAGCGGTAATAATAATCCTTTCAATTATAATAAGACGACACGTTTTATTTATATCAGATACACATTGTGTAAGTAGCTTAACATTTGACCCTATTCGTCTCCCAGTTCACTGGCCACTTACTTTCATGTATTTCGTGAGAAGTGGAGGAATTGACGTGTTGTAATCCAACAGATCCGATTCTCTGAACTATAAAACAAACTAAAATGGCGCCGCCCATTGTGCATACATACAGCTCAACTAACTCGATCATTATAAAGATGTTTAAACAACAAAACCCATTCACTTGCACATATTTGACAATCGGAATATCAGTGTTTTATGTTATAGCTAATACATTTGTGAATATTTTTAATAAAAAAGGAAAAATGACATAAAAGCAGATTATCATTCATTCAGCACTGTGTTGTTGTGCTGTGTCATGTGACCAGGAATGACGCTCACCATGGAAACATTAAAGTGCCGTGTTCTAAATAACGGTCGCCTTGAAGAACTCACACTGGGGCGTCAGTTAGAATATTTTACATTTGCGTGTGAAAGGGTTAATCAGAAATACAGTAAAACCTTTTTTTTCTAAAAGCGTTTTTTGCATCATTACTCGAGTCTTCAGTGTCACATGATCAATCAGAAATCATTCTAATATGCTGATTTGGTGCATTTCTTATGTTGTATTTACACGTCACTTTTAGTTTAAAAGAATGTTAGTGTTAGTTTAAGTGTTAGTTTAAAAAAAATGTCACTACTGTACAATTAATATAGTATCAAATTGCTTCCTGTCTTCATCTTCCCAATTGATTCTCTTTATGCAGGATCATCAAGTAACCTGGTCGCCCAGGAGGCTGTAAGGAAACAGCCTACATTTCTGAAACATGCTGCTAAAACAGGAGAACAGATCTCAAGTAAGGATCAAACCTCTAATTTCTTTTATCAACTCAAAATATGCTCCACTTCAGCAATGGAAAGCCCAAAAAAGACAAAAGTGTCATCAAACACCTTTAAAGCAACTTGTCCATCTGGAACTGTTATAAATTGTACCCTAGGCCATTTGTTGCAAGACTTAATGATGTAATCAGCTTGTAACAGTAAACAGTCCACCTGTGTTGGCCATTTTGAGCGCAGTTCTTGGTTCTTTGAAACGAATTACCAATTAGTGTTTTAGCATGCATATTTAATGTATTCTTAGTTAATCCGTGCAATAATCTAATTGGTTATGGTGCGTCTCTGTCCCCCACTTTCTCTCTATCTGTCGTCCCTCTCTCTCAGACTGTCTGAATTGCAGTCGTATCACTGCCCTCACAGATCGTGTGAGCTCTCTGGAGGCCAAGGTAAAGTCACATCTTTCACTCTGAGCTTCTTTCAGCGGGAATTCACTAAGAATGAATTGTGTTCACTGATAGCTTTGTTTATTTGTACCTCAGTGTTTGATGATGCGGTGTCCTTATCACTCCAGTCCTTCATTATCATTCAAAACAATCCATAACATTGTTTGATCAATCACTCTTTCTACCTTCTCTTTCTCCCAGGTTCAGCTTCTTACAGCCCCTGCCTCCACCTCTCATCGTCAAACGCAATTAAAAAATGAACATGATTCCTCCTCCCTGATGGGGGCGCCACCTGCTAAAGGTGCTCCTGGGGCTCAGGGTCCTGCAGGTATGTTTATTTCTTTGTGTTACAGAATGATTAAAGTGTAGATGTTGTAGTGGTGTTTGCATTAAGACTGCATGTGAAGCATGCATTCCTGTTCCATTGATTTTAGAGCAAAAATGTTCATTTTTCCTGTATTTCAAACAATAGAGCATTGCACTTTCAATGCCAAAGTCAAGCATCCAAGGCCACGCATTTGGCCACAGCTAAGATCATATCTTTTTTGCAGTGTATTCATAATGACCGGTCAGGACTGGATCCATTTGTATCCAGTTTAGGAGAAAACTTTATTAGCCAATAAGCATGTAGAGATAATCCCATTCCCTATAACAATAATGATAATCCCAAAACCCACCTACATTTTGACTTATCTCCCAGCACAGTTGTTGGGGATTTCACTGCAGAGAGATTAGAGTAGCTTTAAATTGTGTGTATATTTGACTGTGTGAGCGTTGATGGTGGTGGGTGTATTTTTGGGGGAATGCCATAGTGCATAAGGCTTTGAATCGCACCAATTCATCGCTAGTTGCCATAGAGATGCAGTACTGAAACATTAAAGAGGCTTGTGAAGATTTAAAGGGGCTAATTGTGTAGGAAAAACTGTAGGACTGCACTTGACACTGTGTCACACTTGTCATTTCCACCAGCCAAACTGTTGGCAATAGAGCACAACAGTAACTACAGACGTTTTAAGCAGCTTTTGTTCTGGAAATAGTTTTCTATTCAATTTCGCTGTACGAATGTTAACAATTTTCAAGAAAAGGACTCCCAAATAAGATGATCTCCTCCCTAAAATATAAATCATTTATTCAGTGTCACATAATCCTTCTTGATAATAATTCCTTGAAAAATGTATTATCAAAGTGCTGCTTTAAATTTGAAAGTTTACTCTTTGGTGGATAGAAAGTTAAAAGCATTTATTTAAAATATAAATATTTATAACATTATAAATGTCTTTTCTGTCACTTTTGACCAACTTAATGTATCCTTGCTTAAAACTAACTAACTGACCCCAGAAATTTGAACGGTGTGTATATGAAGAGTTCAGATGCAAAAGCCTCTAAATGCCATTTGAAATTTTCTTCTTTAATGATGATTTTTATCAAACTTGTATATTTAAGTTCAGTAATTTCACTTAAATAACAATTAATAGGTAATTATCATTGCCATTTAAGTGAAATTACTGAACTTAAATATACAAGTTTGATAAAAATCATCATTAAAGAAGAAAATTTCAAATGGCATTTAGAGGCTTTTGCATCTGAACTCTTCATATATATATATATATATATATATATATATATATATATATATTATATATTGTGTTTTTACCAAGTGAAAAAAACATGATATTAGGATTTGGCTTATATTATATTTGCATAATAATTGGCTTTAATAGTTATTGTACTAAAGCCAAAGCAATTTATTAAAATATTAAATTGCAAAATGTTGACTGTATTTTTTTTCTACCCACACATAAGAGTAATATTAGATGTCTAAACCTGACGTGAAAGATTATCAATTCAAATGTATTAGTATCGAAAACAAAAAGCTACATGGAAGTGCACTGTCACTGCTGTGTTCAGGGTAGCCCTTCACTGATTGGTGGATCTCTCTTTAGGATCATGGATAGTGTAGTTGTCCCATTTCTCCCTCTGACGATGTCGAATCACACTTTGAGAATGATGAATCATCTCTTCAGCACTATATAAAGTGCATCCTTCATGCAGAAAGACATCCTAGTTAGCAGTTAATACCCATTCATTAATTCCCTATACCCACTCCATGGCTAACCCTCGCTGTCCATGTTCAATCCTATCATCACTTGAAGTATGGCGGAGATTTAAAGACGGGTCCTCAGAGATTTCCAAAATGACTGGAGAGACTGTTAAGAAAAATCCAGAAAACCCTTGTCGCACTTATGCAGCTTTCCCCGTCCCCGTGCTGACTTGGCAGAACTATTCAGCAAATCAAGGGCAATTCAGTTCTTTCCACACAGAACATTGAATAGATTTGTTGCCCAGAAGTTCTTCACCTCAATGCAAAGTCAATCCTCTATATATTCGAGATACCACAGCCATGAAGGACTGTGGTGGAAGGATGAGGCACAAATTACCCTTGAGGGGATTATTTCCATGTGCTGGTTAGACAGATGGAGAGAGTGCTAGCGAATCTGGTGTTTCCATGGGGAATTTGTGTGGAGCTCTTAAACTGTGTGTTGTGCTGGGCCATCACTAAAATGCACAATTATTGGTGTAGCCCATCTGAAATTGAAAAAGTGGATGTTAATTAAACATACTGTATGCATTCAGTAATGCGGTCAGTGTATTACGATCACATGCACAATGTAGTGGGCATTTCAAAATACTGAATTGTCCTAGGTATCTTATTATCCAAATTGTTTAGATTTTTAGAATGCACATTAGTAAAACTGTGCATATTCTGCATTACAGGCTGAATGGAAATGCGAATTCACAAAACGTGACACTTATGGAAAAGCAGATTAATCCAGTTTTTTATTCCCTGTGGATCATCAAAGAACAGCAAATACTTCATATTTATTTTCAAAGATTTGTGGACAAATGTACATTTTTAAATTTTTATTTTACATTTTTTCTTTGAACTAAAACATTCCACCCAGAAAAGATACCTAGATATTGGTTGAAAAAAAAGATCTATTATTGTTCTTTATAGTTCTTTTCTCTTGCACTTTACTCAATTTGAAACATTTGTTTCATTTGTTTTTATTGTGTATTGTATTTAAATGTTCAAGATTCCTTTTGTTATTTGAAAGAAAGTTGTTATTAACTTGTTTTTTCAGCTCCAGGATTTTTTTTTTTATAATTTTCACAAAATTTTAATGATAATGGGCCCTCAAAATATTTTTATTGTAGGAACATGCAATATTTCAAAAGAAAGCACAAACCTTCTGCTTTTAAACAAACAAACAAAAAAAGTTTTATTCTAGCTTCATGAATTATTTTTTTATCAGCACTTGAATGTAGGTAAGAGTGAAGGATTCCATCCATCCTCCTGATGGATTTCTGGCTCTTAGCTCGTCCAGCTTATTTTCAAGTGAGCAGACAATGGCACGTTAGTTTGATCAAGACATTAGCAGAGAGCATAAAGTCATAGCCTACTCTCCTGCGCCTCAGTCAGGATTTCAGAAAAGCTGAATGTAAATCTGTGTGGGACTTTTTCCAGTTCCATGTCCAGTTCGGTTTACTATCATAAGATATCCCGGAAGAGAAAGGCAAAGAGCTTTAAATGTCCATTTTCTTTTTTCCATTTACTACTTTATCAGCCTGGTTGCTGATATAGATCTAAACTACAAAGCTTTTGTGGTCCTGTCCAAGGTTATCCGTACGGATAACCTTGGACAGGACCACAAAAGCTTTGTAGTATGGTACAGGGGACAGTTTTTGTAACCTAACAGGTCGTTGGATTTGTGTTACTCTTAAAAACAGTCGCCATGTTCCTGCAAAAGAAATTGTGTGGCTGTGTTCATGGCCAGATGCTTGGTGGGAGAGAAACATGAGGAAATTGTATTTTATCATAAAATCTTTCAGGGGGAGAATAACATGAGTGATTGTGTAAACAAATTAATGTATCAGTTCATAAATTATTCCTTTAGGGAATCCTGTCTCTGCAATGATGTCACAGATGATGATCTCACATGATGAGCTCAGTGTTATTTAGGCTGTGTCTGCCAACAGGCACTGATTTTATCAGGCTGTAGTGCTGTTCAAATGACAGCCCTGGAAGATACTTTAGTGTAAAAGATTGACTTTTTTACTGACTAAAGCAGAGTTTGCTTTAAGATCTGGAGAATCTTTATACTTCCTGTTTAACTGTACAATTGTGTGTGTTTGTCCCAGGTCCACAGGGCGAGAAAGGCCAGGATGGCTTACCTGGTAAAGACGGTCAGTTGTTTTATGTCTTTTCACTATTCAGTTCAATCTAAAATACACACTCAAACACACATACACACTTCTGCAAACTCACAATAGAGGTCTGCTGCCCAAGCTCGATTCGTTCATTCAGGACTGGGCAGAACCTTTCTAAAAGGTTTACCATGATCAGGACATGCATTCAACAGACCTTCTTAAAGGCACAGAGTAATCAGAGATGGGAAAGAATGAAAACAAAGATAATTTCACAATTTACTCACTGTAATGTCATTTCAAACCTCTATGACTTTCTTTCTTCTGTGGAACCCATCAAATATAAATAATATAAATTAAATTGTTCATACAATGAAATTCAGTGTACGCGTCAGGTGTTTTGTGTTCACATTTAGCAGGAGTTTGACTAAAACAAACTCTAGTGCTATGGGCTCTATGCACGGCGTTATTTCCGGTGAAGGATTAAGGATGCTCGATAACTTCCGCCGATCATAGAGTCCAATGCAATACCGAGAATTTATATTGAATTTTATACTCCATGGTTATACTAATGAAACGTTAGTCACAAAAACAGATAAAACAGACACCCCTCGTTGTGTTTATGCTTCTTTTTAAAATTATATTAAATAAACATAACTATATATAAAATTACATCTAAACGTATGTACGTTTCGTTTCAAAGACGGGAGGACAGTAAATATTGAAGACTCCGCCATAATCCCGTTTTCTCCGGTTTTCCTCCGCTTTAATCTACACAACCGGAAATGGACGAGCATCCTTACGTCAAATGCGGAACTTATGCGTGCATATAGCCCATTGCTCTGTAAGTGCAGTTCAGTTGTGTTTAGTTGCTGTTTTCACAAGTTCTGAGCTTGAAAAAATACAATCATACGTACACACAAGCTAATTTAGCCCAGAACACAGCATGGATGTTCGGTAATTATTTCCCACCAAAGCTGTAAAGCTGTTGTTTTTACCTTTTGGTTGGGTGTTAAACATGATCATTTGAATACTAAGTGAACTAGGACTAAATATATCATTTTCTTTTTTGGTCTGCACCAAAAGAACCAAGATGTCTGAATTTACATGTGCGAACAACCCTAAGAAGGTCTTCATTAAAGTTCAGCAAGTAAAGTATAGTAATTTGCACAATCTGGGTCTCCTCACTCTGAGAGGGAAAAAAAGAGGTTAAGTTTGAGAACGACCTAATAATCAGACATATTTGGTTGCTATCTTTTCACTTTGATTCCTCTGTAGACCTTACACATTACACATGTTCTCTGTATCTGTAGGTAAACAAGGGTATCGAGGTCTCCCAGGACCCAAAGGAGAGGCGGGCACCAGAGGTCCATCTGGGGCTCCAGGGTCTAAAGGAATAGCTGGTCCTATAGGTACTTTGAACAAGCCCACAACACTATCACAGGATTTTGAGATCACAGAAATCACTTTGTGACTCAAGACAAAAGTTGAGGAATAGCTATGTCCAATTAACACTTCTCATGTTATTGTCTAATGTACAGATCCATTAAGTACCTCAGAAATGGCACATTCAAAAGAATCCCAAAAGCTGTATTTGTACATATGTTTTTATAATTGTATCCATTTATAACATTTTTTTGTGGAGTTCTGCTGACCTATGACTGGCAAGAATGTGGTTTCTCATCATGCTGACTTTTCTGCCATAAAGAGGCACTATATGAAGACAATGACGAGTCAGCATTGAGCTCCAAGTCCACTTGCCAAAATATTTGTGCTTGGACCACATTGTAAAAAAATATTTTTTGTTCACAGCATGTAGCGCTGTACTAGGGTTTGGTTAAACACACAAACACAATCAATCAACTAACATTATGTATCACGTACCCCAAGACTCAAAAATAGTACAGAATCTAGTACTGTCATAATATTTGAAACATGGCCACAGGTATGAAGGGTCTTTTAACCCAGCCATGACTGACTTGAACGGGCTTTAAATGACCCTAGGACCTATGGAGGGGCTCCTCAGCCATGTGAATCCAATCTAAAGTGAACATGAGATATGTATACAATACTTGCTTCTTATTTCTTCCATATGTTTGCCATTTTATTGTTTTTCTTGGATTTGCCTTTTTCTTTACGCCTTTATGTCATGCACAATGAACTGTATCTGATTGCTGTATTCTCTCAAGAGAGGTATGTTTTAAAAGCAAGATAAATCTAGAGGAAAATAACGTCAAGGTATATGGGTAGCTGACATGAGATACTTTATGGTAGTTGACATCCTGCGATACTTCATCTAAAACTATTTTCAATTGCATTTTGAAAATTATTTTATTTGCAATTTATGACCTCATATTAGTTAAGACTACATGGACTTTACTACATGGATTTTTAAATATGTGTAGTTTTGAAAATTAATTTACCATTCCACAGGACTGTTAAAATAAACTAGTTCATCTAAAAAGGAAAATGTTGACTAGTTAAAGCTATAACTGAATAAAATTTATATTCATTTAAATTGTTTAATCATATAAATAGCATATATAATATATATCATATAAATGATATATTAAAGTGCTGGAACTTTGATTTATACCATGGTACTGAACGATTACAATATTCATTGTTGTCATTCATTCCAAAAGAATCATGACATATGCCATAGTGCTATAGTAATTTTTTGTTGAAGGACACAAATTCAGTGATGATAGTACTTTGGATATTGCTCTGAGAGTCTTTGTGATTGTTTACTCTTGACTCAGCAGAATACCAGTCCACACACAATTCCTGTTAAAGGGAAACAGGACATCCTCTTTACATGACGCTCTTACATACACAATGAACTATTATTCACTCAATTAGCATTCCACAAAGCAGCAGACTCCACTTGTGACCTGTGTTGTGACACTGTCTAAGAATGAATTTTGTCCACCATTACAGCTGTTTATTTACACATGCTGTCTACATTGTTTTATCTTTTTTATTTGATTGATTTTATGATTTTTTTTATTATCAACAGAGATAATAATAAGCCCAATTCACATGCCTAATTTACATAGAAAGAGGGCATGTTTACAGAGAAAAGAATGACAGTACTTAAAGCAGCACTATGTAACATTTTCAACCATTATAATAATTTTTCCAAAACCCTTGAGATGGCACATCGACTTACAATAGGTTGAATGACAGGTCTGCCATAGCCTGACAGTGACAGTACAGATATCGCTTTTACTGGCACCATGTAACTTCAGGGAGCGGGTATGAACCAGAGCACAAAAAGAACTTCAAAATTCGACTGGTTTACGGGATACATCACTTCTCCCACTTCCGTAAATGTTTCAATGAGCGTTTTTTTTTTTTTTAACCTCTGTATGTTGTCATGGCTGAAGCAGCCATTAAAACCAAGAGGCCAAAGGTTTTGTCGGAGGACAGTAGAAAGAGAAAAAGGGAGAGTGGCTATGAGGATCAATATTGGTCCAGTGTTAGCTCACTGGCGCCACTCATCCATAGGGTACGCCAAAATGAACGAACGAGTGATTGTTTTATTCTAATACTATTTTAAAAACATTAATTCATAATACTACTCTACAAAAACTCCGGTCCGGTGTATCAATCTTCGCCTTGCAAATGTGAAGTGCGTAAGAAACAGATCAGTTTACTGTTAGCAATGTGTTGTGTAGCTTTGCCCCTCGCCGCATCCAAAGTAGACCGCATTGCTTTATTTTGAGGGCGCTTAACACACTCAAACATCCCTGTAGAGTCGGGGCGGGCAGCTCACGCCAGCTCGAGATGTGAAAGTATACTGATTACTGAATTTGGTAGTGGCTACATTCTAAGTACAGTAAGTAATACATGATTAGACGAACAAAATATACAGTCAGGATAACTATCCTATTTCTGCACTGCAGGCTGATAGTCATGTTTGTTATTTATTTTTTTGGTGAAAGTGTCTTGCCTCAGGCTATAATGCAAATCGATTTTTCAAATTTGCAGATTCATCTATGGTAGCTTGATATTATAATATTGATGACATAACTATTATCTACCACAAACATTGAATTGAATAAGCAAATCCATTATGTAAAACAGTGGCCAATAGGTTAACGTTGCAATAAAGACGCTGGCTTGTAAACGTGAGATGAGTAAGTAAATTATGACAGAATTTTCATTTTTTAAGTGAACTGTTCCTTTTAGGTCGTGCGCTATTTCAGTACATTTAGTGTCTGGTTAAGCTGGATTGTGTGTGGTTAGTGAATAATAAGAAACAGGTTTTTGCACTGCAATACTATGTGCAAAAATGACACAACTGTTTAGTGAATTTGCCCGTTACTGTTAAATCAGGAATTTTATCCTACATCTCATCAAATAACTTTAGTAAACATTATATTTTTGCATTGCATCACCTTTAAAACCCCTAAAGGAGAGACTGGTGATAAATGGGGTGAGAAGGATGCAGGGATGACAGAGGAGTGTATGGAGGACAGACTGGACAGGAACGGAGAAAAGAAACAAAGACAGGCAGATGAAAACCTTGTTCTGCGATCTCGCACACCAGCCGTAATATGTAGCTTTTCTTTCCTTTATTTTTTCCCTTCAAAACTAACAGGCAATAAGGAACCAGCTGGAGGGATATTGTGTAGATGCGTGCACACACACTCACACACATACACATCCAGAAAGAGAGCTGTATGAATCAGCGCAGTCACCAGCCAGGTTTTAATTTATTACACACCAGAGTCGCTAATATGCTCCGGCATTTAGCGGTGTTTATTTGAGTTTTCCCAGCTCTCTCTGTTAGAGCCCAGCACATGGCCATTATGAACCCCCTCCTGTTAATTACAGCCCACACACACAGTCACACACAAATACACATCACTCTCATGCCCCTCTTATTAACCCCTTTACTAGAACAGCCATGTATCGAAACTAAATACCTCATTCTACCTCAATCTGTGCTCTTTCACTTCCAACAGTGCCTTATAATTGACTAATCAGAGGAAAGATGGTTTGAAATGTGTGTGTCTGTGTGTGTTTGAGTTTTCAATTTTTTTTTGCTTTCTCCTCAGGTCCACAGGGACCACCAGGCCTCCCAGGAGAGAGGGGCCTCCCTGGGCCACCCGGCCCTCCCGGGCCCCCTGGCCCACCACTTGAACAAGATGCTGGTATGAGTATGAGTTATTTAAGGGGCTGTCATCCAGTCATTATCACAAAAGAAAACCCCAAAAAAAACAAGATTCATACGGACCTGGATGTAAAGTAAAGTGGTCTTTTATCACCCTTAGGGGTTGTACTTTCCCACACTTAGTATAGCCTACATTTTGGGGTTAGTACGTTTAAAACAAATTAAAATAATACTGTTATTATTTTTAATAAATACTGCATTAAATTGATTATAAGTGACAAAGACATTTATAATATTAAAAAAAATTTCGATTTTAAATGCTGTTCGTTTGAACTTTTTTTTGCGGTTTCACAACTGTTTACCATTGAAAAAAATAAGAAATGTTTCTTGAGCAGCAAATCAGCATAGAATGATTTCTGAAGGATCATGTGACACTGAAGACTGGAGTAATGAAAATGGAAATTTGGCAAAGCTGAATTTTCTATAACATCTTCAGTGTCATATGCTAAATAAAATGTCTAAAAATAGTAAAAAGTTATTTTTAATTGTAATATTTCAGAATATTACTGATTTTTCCTGTATTTTCGATTGGATAAATGCAATATATATATATATATATATATATATATATAGTGTGTGTGTGTATATATATATATAGTATATATATATATATATATATAGTATGTACTTTGTATATATATATATATATATATATATACTTGCAGAGCTATGAAGGGAATCATTTCCTTGGACAGGCAGTCAGTTATACAGTTTTGTGGTCATTATACAAAAATATTTGACCGTAGTACGCCACAACTCATCAACCAGAATCAAGTATCCTAGAAAGCTGTTACAGTTGCCTGCGTTTGCTGTTTTTGTACCCCTCACCCCCCTTTAACTCTCTCTGTCTGTCTGTCTGTCTTCATGTGGCTCTTCCGATTTTTCACACCTTTAGAATCGAGTTGTGAGGGAAATTGCTGTAGAACCAGATGGATGTATGTGGACAGACACACACACAGATGCTGTAATCAGTTGCTCTAAATGTGGAGCAGGTTCAGTTGTGAGTGCAGGCCAGTTCTGCAAGTCTAAACCTCATTAGTAGCAAGTCATTTAACAGTAAAGTCAAATTCATCTCGTTTTGACGAGTTTTGCGATTTCCGTTGTTGTGTGCGACAACAGAGTGAATGGGAAGCTTCGAATGAGTCCAATAGAAATAGAAAGAGGAATGGATTGAGGAATTAGTCTAACTTATGGGCATCTCTTCTCTCATTGCCCATCTTTTCCTCTTGATTAAAATGGCAGGTTTCAGGAGGTAATGCAGGCTAGACTCAATAGTCACATGCTGGGAAACAGACCTGTCTGTCTGCTGCTGATGTCACTCAACCACTTCCAGATGTGCAGGGCCAAAACAGCAGGGTAGAAGTGTGTGTATGTGTGCCGTCTTTAGACTTACACTCAATTAAACTCTAAGCACGAGGGAGTGTTTTAGAATAGAAGCAATAATATTTTAGTGTGTGTTTCGTCACTCTCGAGGAGGACTGGCCCGTGTAGCCAACTGACTCTTCACCTCAGCTCAGTTTTATATCTGCTCTCTGTTGAAGGAGACATGGGCCTGCCCAGACCTCATAAAGTTTGAGAATTTTCAATTTAGGGGCCTTAGAACTTTATAACTCATTTAAGGCTGTTATTCCCATGATTCCACCTTCAAAGTAATCAGGACAATTAAAGGGTCTGCAAGGGGCTTCCATAGAAAAACACTGTCTTTATTGGAGTTTCCTGTCTGGGTCTGGGCTCAGGGATGCCCTGCAGCCACAGAGAATAACAGCAGAAAACTCACCTGCTGCGGGACACCGACAGACAGACAGAGAGAGGGAGAGAGATGGGAATCTGCCTTTGTAATTTCAAGACAAAACATTTACTCTGTCCACTGTGAGGAGACTTGTAAAATGTATTTTCAAAGCACTTAATTTGCATGATTGTGCACATAATATTTCAAAAGCAGCAATGCACACAACAAAAGCAGTGACAAGAAAATAAAAATAGAGAAAAGTATTAATATTCAAAAAAGTGCCAAACTGACAGTAATGGACATACATAAATTCAGCCAGACATTATTGAGCTGGTTGTACAAATGCCAATAGCATTTTTTAAAAATGTTTTTATTGCTTGATTTTATAAATTTATAAAATGACTGCTCTAAATGTCAGGGGTGTGTTGTAGGCAGAGTAATTAATGAAGGGGAAAATAAAGCCCACACAAGAGAAAGATACAAAGAAAACCATTAGGCTATGATAAAAAAGAAAACCACTGGCTTGTAATTTTGTCGTTTTTTTGTGTGTGATTTAATTCACTTTTCATTGCAGAAAATAAAAAGCCAGCACATCAAAATGTCAAAACCAATTTTTCAATTATTGGTGCGCCAATATTCTACAACCTGCTACAAATTAAATACCCGTTTATTCTTGTTTAAACATCGCCATCTACAGGCGAGTAGCCTTAATGACATTCTTCATCAGATCGCTGTCACTCTGACTGAGATATGTTATATGTTTGTTTGTTACAGGCCTGAAAAAAGATAGTCTTCTACATAACAACTTCCCTGACCTCCGAGTGACCCCTCCACATGGTCCACCTGGACCCACCGGTCAGTGAATCTTTATTATTTATTTTCTTGTTTAAAGTATTTCTCACTATTGGACATTTATTCCAGGGATGAGTACTAGGTTTAAACTAAGCCTGGTTTGAAAACAGTCAGTTGATTTAGCCCACATTCACACTGAATGTGATATGTGATTATGATTAATTGCAGCTGAATTTTATAATACACATTTTGTATCAAACTTAATTTCATTATGCAGGAGGAATTTGTGTTCACTGTAAAAAATATTTTCAAGATTTGTTATCACAACATATTTTCTTTTGTCAAATCAACTTTATAAAAATGTATTTAGTTGAGATAACTTATTATTTTGAGTTTATGATGGTCAAATTAATCTACTTCATTGTATTAACTCACTTTTTCCAGTTCAATCAACTTAAAATTTTAAGGCAACCCAGGTTACTTACTTTTTTAAGTTAAACCAACAAAAAATTTTACAGTGTAGTAATCACAACATATTTTCTTTTGTCAAATCAACTTAAATAATTTATTTAGTTCAGATAACATATAATTTTGAGTTTCTGATGGTTAAATTAATCTCCTTCATTGTATTAACTCACTTTTTCCAGTTCAATGAACTTAAAATTTGAAGGCAACCAGGTTACTTACTTTTTTAAGTTAAACCATCAATATTTTTTTACAGTGTTTGTATCCCAATTTGCTATCATGGGATTTTCTGTTGTTATTTCACTTTTGTAAAATTGCAGCCATTAATTCTTGACATATTTTACTTTTCCATAAACTGCAAACAGGATATTGAAAACATCAGACAATCAAAATATCAACAGACTTATACGTTTCCTTATTATTTTTGGCCTCCCTTAAATTACATATTGTTTTAATGTGATTATAAACTATGAATTTCACTCTACTCTACCTTTAGCGCACGTAACTATCTTTGCAATAATGTACATGCACATCTTTAACATAAATATTACTATTTTTTGTGGCAATGAATCAACCATTCTGCAGGTTATGATTAGAACAGTTATGATATCACTGACTTTATATCTAATGGGCTTTTTGCTTGTCTGAATTTTTTATTTTAACCGGTGAGGTTATAGAAAAGACTTAACCTTAATTTTTCAAATACTGCTAGTAATATGTTCAGTTTGAATTTCCTTCATCATTTTAGACAGTCATAGATCCATAATAATTTCTATTTCAGACTATTTGATTGAGCTATTATTAATTATCAGTTTTCCTTGTTTCATGTTAAAAGACTGTTTTAACATGACCAAGTAGTATCCACCTGTGTTACGAGGGTATGTATTGACCCAAATGTAATATTTCAATTACACAATTAGAGTATTGGGTATAGCAATACCAGTCAAATTTCAGGGTTCTTGGGACCAATTTTGTGACCATAGCAAAAACTGTCGAGACTATTTTAACCAATAAAAAATGAAAATATTAAAGTTTATCATTTATGATGATAAACACTACAAGTAAATGATACATAAAACAGCATTTAGCCTTCAAATGTTTATAAGTAAAGAGATCAAGTGAAAAATCCAGATTCTGAGTGACTAACTTAAACACCTCTGATAGGTCATTGCATTTACACGCTCAACATCTATGTCTGTGATTATCTCAATGACTAACACTCCAAAACTTTGAGGCTCTTCACAGAATGCTTGCACAGATACACTGTGGAGCTTTTGAAAGCAGCCGGCTATCAACGGTCACCCAATATACCCGGCAATTGGGGAAAAGCCTTGGACAAATAGAATAAAATTAGACCACGAATGGTTTTATTCAGATATGTTAACTATGTCTTTTGCAGGTCCTCCTGGGCCAATAGGACCCTCTGGACCACCAGGCCCAATGGGACAAACTGTAAGTTTATGGCTGATAAGCAAATAACCCTTATGTGAGTGTGTGTACTAATATGTTATACTTTTCTCATGTAATCAGGGAAAGTCGGGAGCTCCTGGTTTGCAAGGCCCGGTGGGTCCGAAGGGCGAACGAGGCGAAAGAGTGAGTGCACAAGCTTAAACCTCCCCACAGTGCAACACTTCCTGTATATTCTGTGCATTTCTTACTCTTAATGTAACTCCTCAGGGACCTCTTGGATATCCAGGAGAGAGAGGGTTTAAAGGAGAGCCGGTAAGATGCCTACCTTTTCCAAAGACAGCACTAAAGAGTAGTCCATTCAACTTGTAACAAGTCTTCTGAAGTCGTACAGTAATTTCGTGTGAGAAACAGGCTGAAATTTAGATCATTATTCACGCTTTTTCTTCCTAGGGAGAGCAAGGCCTTAAAGGAGAGCCAGGGGAGAAAGGTCTTCCGGTAAGACGAGCCCATCAGGAGTCCTGTTTGACACACTCACTCCCATTTATGCTCAACCTTTTCCAGGAAGGAGATAAATGATCAGTTCCTGAGTTCATGAATGCAGGGAATATGTCAGTCATGCACTTAAGAGTTGTTGAAATGCACTGATTTTAATGCGAAAATAATCTCTTTCCTTATGCCTGCTTTTCAATGTTCTAGAGCGATTTGAACGTAAGAGATTTTGACATTTGCCGTGACGTTTTTGTCGTTCCTGGTTCCTTTAGGTTTTTCATTGCTCATCCTGCCGTTCATCTGTGTTTTAACATCAGCAATCACAACAAATCCATCAGTGTAATTTTCATCATGAAAAATCAGGGCAGATTGACTTTCTCATCCCAAATTGATGGAAAATTACGAATGAATGAAAACTCCACTGAAAGGATTTGCTCCACAAATGCTGTTCATTGCTTACTTACAGTACTCACGGTTAGCACATTACATGTCTCGGTTTTGTGTGCACTGATATTGTTTCCATGTGTTTTTGAACAAGAGGTTGCCCTTTATGACTGATTTGAGATAAGTTTTTGGCTTCTCACTGTCTATAGGGGGTTTCGGGGTTTCTGATCTTGTCTCAGATTAGCATACAAGGGCATAATCTCTTCTGAATGTGCAATTATGTTGTTAATGTTGTTGATTTTGATTGGTTGGTGGTTGGGGCTGTCTTGAGTGTTTCCCCTGTCCTCTAAAGCTGACTCCTTTCCGTTACTGTCCCCATGGCTGCCTTTCACAGCCACCAGTCTCTTAGCTACCAGCTCTGGCATATACCCAACACACAGAGAAGTTCAATCTTTGCTTTGTAGTGCTGTTGATATAACCTTTGTGTGTGATTAAATGATTAATCAGGATTCAGCAACCAAACTGCTAGATCAAAACCACGGGAGGAGGAGAAATGAGAAAAAAGTAGAAACGTGTGTTGTGTATATGCTCCATTTTAGCATTTGCAGGGATTTGGTGTGTGGATGGACGTGTAGATCGATACAGCTATCGTTCAGTATCCCTCAGTGCATTGCTGCATGGTCCCATCTTATTGCGCTGCTTCTGATCTTCCTTTTCGCCCACTCAACTTACATCTAACCATTCCATTTTGAGTTTAACAGCATTGAACGATCAATAGTCAAACAAACGTTGTGTTTAATTGCATTACGCCATCACACTCAATCCGTTGTGAAAGGCTTGCTATATTGAACAGCCTCTTTAGTTCACATGTTGACGGATGGTTTTCCGCATGGCCTGTCGATCCCAGATGTGGGCCATTTGTGTGTTATTAATCATAAGACAGATAATTCAATTAAATCCTGTAGATGCTGTATGTAGACTCCTTAGAGATGTATACATAATGCACAAAGACCATACAATTATTTGAAGATTAATCGCTTCACATTTATCATTTTGAGGCCTAGCACTCATATAATACCATAGGGAAACATTCTGGACCATAGCCATACTTGCATCTCTTAATGAATATGGTATTATTTTTTCAAGAAATGATATTATATGTTGTTTGGCTAGAATCTAGATCTCTCACAGGCACTAACTTTTACATAACTCTTTCCTGACTTCATCAATAACACTGTTTTTCTAACATGTGCTTGAGCTTGAGACTGTTGTGTAGAATGTACGTTATGTGACCAGTTCTTTACACTGTTCTAGAAATGCCTACCAAAGCCACATAACTTAAGTATTTCTGCAGATTTTTTTTTGTAAAATAGCTCAAGATTTTTTTCTGTTAGATCTGTTTTTTAATTATTATTATTTTGTCTTTTGATTCCATGTAGCGCTGGGTAAAAAATATTGATTTTCCAATTAATATTTCAGTATTAGTATTTTAGTATTTTGCTGAGTTGTTAATGTGAGTTGTTCACAGTATATGAGGCAATAAAAAGAAAAATCGTTAATTGTATTGACCTCGCAGGCTGCATGAAAAACATAACTCTTCCAGTGTAGTCCAATTAACAAAAACATGACTCTTTGAACAGATAAACAAGTGAACCCATTCTTTTTAGTTAATCAAAGACAGTGTGAAATGAATGACTCTTTGACAGATCTTTTTTAGTGAATCAAAAAAAAAATGTGGTTAAGGTGTAGTTCACTTTTAAAAAAAACTTTTGCTGATAATTTACTCACCCAATTTACTCAATGTTTGATGAAAACATTCCAGGATTTTTCTCCATATAATGGACATCAATGGGAACCAAACGGTTCAAGGTCCAAAAGACAGTTTCAGAGCAAACTGCAAACAGTTCACATGGCTTTAAACGATTTCAGACGATGAATAACAAGCAACGCTTATCAAGCAAAACGATCTCATTTAAAAAAAATAACAAAGTTTAAGTTTTATAAGCTCAAATGGTCGCCTTGCTCTGTTCTGTGATGCGTGTTCGTGACTCTCCTGTTCGAACTCGTTTATCAAAATGAACTAATCTTTTTTCGTGTAATTTGGTTCATTCAACGAACGAAATGAATGAGTTGACTCGGGAAAAGATTTGTTCATTTTGATGAACGAGTTTGAATAGGAGAGTCACAAACGCGGATCGCACCCTAACCCTAACAGAGCAAGGCGACCATTTGAGCTTATAAAACTTAAACTTTGTTGTTGTTTTTTTGAATGAGCGATCGTTTTGCTTGTTAAGACCCTTATTCATCGTCTGAAATCGTTTAAAGCCCTTTGAACTGTTTGCAGTGGAACTGTCTTTCGGACCTTGAACCGTTTGGTTCCCATTGAAGTCCATTATATGGAGAAAAATCCTGGAATGTTTTCATCAAAAACCTTAATTTCTTTTCGACTGAAGAAAGAAAGACATGGATATCTTGGATGACATGGGGGTGAGTTTTTTTTTTAAAAGTGAACTACTCCTTTAGTGTGGCCTGATTCACAATAAGTATCTACAGACTCTACTTTATATTGAATTGCAACATATTCCTGAAACAAATGACTCATATGAGCTAGTTCTTTAAAGATAGTGTTACCATTTTGAATCAATCTGAAATACTGGCCTGTATAGTTTACAGTATCAGGAAAGTGAGAATTTTATGAATAGGTAAAGGAAATAGCTTGTGAATCTAAAAAATCTGTATTGATACCCAACCTTAATTCCATGAACTTAAAATGGTCATAATTCATTAGGTATTTAAAATTATTATGTTGAAATGAATTACTGGCTCTGATTGGACACCAGTATTTGATAGCCATGTCTTCAGTGCGAGCTAATAACGGTGGCTTTGGTGTAAGAGCATATTTTACCTTGAGATGAGCAGACTAAAGACTAAAGAAGTGTATGTATAGTCAACCAAGTACAAAAATGGTCCAGATGACTCCAATATTTCTTTAGTTTGAACAAAGCTGCTCACCTCTTGGTTTTTTTTTTTGTAACATAGTCTGAGTGTACTGGGAATGTTACATGCATGTTCAAATCTAAAATGGTTGAACATTTGGTCTTGATTTGCTCTAAGGAGCCTTTGGCCTGAAAAACAAAAACAAAAAAAAACCCTGCATGCTTTTTGTCAAGACTTACGGCATGGCCACAGAAGAAATGAATGAAATAAGACAGGCAGAGCTTAATTTGATGTTTAGTTAACTGGAGTTTCGTAGTGAATGAAGCTGAGAGCTTAACCCGCTAACTACGGTAATGGATTGAGATTAATGTAATTGATTAACAGAATGACTTTGCATCTTGGCGAGCGCTTTTGTTTGGCTTGTGCCCAATACCTTGACGGCTGTATCTATCTCCACAGGGGGATGGGATACACCAAATCCGCGAGGCCCTGAAGATCTTAGCCGAGAGGGTTTTAATCCTCGAGACTATGATCGGTATCCATGGTGAGTAGAAGGCCAGAACTAGGTTTAGGTTTGTTTTTAAAAGGACTTAGGACAAGGGTCAGAGATTTCAGTGCATCTTTTATCCCACAACACCTTTGGAAATTGAGCGAGGAGCAAAGTGTGGTGGAGGACAGGGGCCAAGTACTCCACCTGCCATCCATGAGCCCAACCCCCACCATGCTTTCAAAACTTTTGATCTTTGATAGGACTTTAATTTGAAGAAGTTCCAAGACTTGCAGGCTGACTTAGAGCTGCTGGCTCGCAGGGTGCAGCTGCTGGAGGCGATCATCTGGCCAGGTAATGCCCGCTTCCCCTCGTCCAAACAAGTCAATCTACTGCCATCTCCTGGCCAGTTAGAAGATCAGCTCACAGGGGGGATTGTATGAATCCAAAAAAGACTCCATCCAGGGCCAGACTCCAGCAGTATTTCCCAGTTTACCTCTCATTAAGTTGCTTTTCTGTATAATGCCACACAATCACTATGTATTTAGTAGATGCTTTCCCATCCATAGTGACTTATGGTACATTTACTATGGAGACAGACCCGTGCAACAGCCCGGATTCAGTGCCTCACTCAAGCATGCGATGTGATAATGGGAACCGCAGTAAAACATCAGTTCATGAACCACCCCTGAAGTTTGAACCAACATCCTTTGAATTACTAAAGATTTTTAACCACTTTAGCCACTTCTTCCTGTGAGTGGAGACCCATCATTACCCACCAAAACACAGTAATACCACAGGGCTCCAGACTCAAAAATGACTAGGTTAAAATTGGTTCCTAAATATAAGTATTTAGGAACCAAACAACTTCTTATTTGTTAAATGAAGGATTGCTTGACAAAGATTGTGTGCTATGATTAAAGGATGTTTATTATAGTATATATGAAGAGTTCAGATGCAAAAGCCATTTGAAATTTTCTTCTTTAATGATGATTTTTATCAAACTTGTATATTTAAGTTCAGTAATTTCACTTAAATAACAATTAATAGGTAATTATCATTGCCGTTTAAGTGAAATTACTGAACTTAAATATACAAGTTTGATAAAAATCATCATTAAAGAAGAAAATTTCAAATGGCATTTAGAAGCTTTTGCATCTGAACTCTTCATATATCATTACTCCTTCATTTTAATTTATATATTTATCTGTTTTCTAGTTGTATTTAGTATACATTTCTGATTTGATGCTGTCACTCTAGTGATAATAATCGTATTTGTGCCAAAGTATTTTAGAATTACTTTTAGGATGTATTTATTAATTTTACTAACAAAAATATTTTTATGAAATCAATCGTAATAATTGAACTTCCTGTGCTAAACGATAGGCAACAATACTACATATATATATATGTGTGTGTGTGTGTTTAAATAAATTAGAATTATTTTTAGAATATAATTGATCATTTTATACAACAGGACTCTGATTTAACAAACCTAAAGTACACATCACAGTAATGTTTTTTAGATCACTTTAAAAAAATTATATATAAAATAAAATACTCATGCTTCAGTCAGGGAGTCAATTGTAAACTATGTAGTGCCTCTGAATTATTCGAAGTGAGCGAATCTGATTCAAACCGCTAACTCTAGAGCGGATTTAAGACTGTTCTGTGAATCTCGGAGAACAAAATCAGTTATTTGTTCACAAGAATCGATATACGAGTCATTTGTTTTGGACATCAATGCTTGCAACCTTTTAAGTTTTCTCGACTATCGCCAACAGTTACAAGACTTTAAATTATTGTAACATTATTGAGTCCTGTTGCCACCTTTCTTCATCTCAATTTGGTAAAACCGTGAAAACGGATAACATATGCCACTTCTCTAAGAATGAACTGAATCATTGGACTATTATTCATCAGCCACTTTACAAAGTATTTTGAGTAACAGATTAGCACTTAGCAGTCTTAACTCTCTCTTCCTTCAACAGAACCAGATCTAGGGTCAGGAGATGGCTTCTTTGGCACACCATCTCCCGATGTCTACCGGATTAAGAGGGCAAGAATGTCATCTTTGCGGGTCAACTCTCCCTTAATCACTGCTGAGACCAAGGTTCGAGGGAAGTAGTCTGCATATTCCAAAGAATGAAGCCATCCTTTCCATATCAATTCCGATATCTGTAAATCAGCTGAGCTGGCAACAACTACACAAGTCCTAAACATATCACAGATCCAACCGCCTTGGAGTATTCCAGTTAATCCAGAAGGGGGGAGACACCTCAGGGAAGACCATATGGTGCTGTATAAATTAACCACCTCTAATGGGACTCCACAGGTTCCAAGCACCTCTCCTCTGGCAAATAATTGTGGTTTGCCATCATGTTGTGTCACTCTTATGACATAATGAACACAAGCAGTCTCAGAAGGAATTTATCAACCTATTGTTTGATACTCGATTCACATGAAAAAAAGGAAACATGTTTTAGAATACGATATAGAGGAACGGTATTGGTGCTTGTACAAAACGGCATAAATGATGGAGATGAAGAACGGAGAGCATCAAACCATATTATTATTCTTTCCAGCTGCTGTTAGGAGCTCATAGTGACTTCAAGGGATCGTTCACTTTGAAATTAAATCTTGATATGTTTTAGCTTACATCAAGGGCATCATGGTCTTTGTTTCCACAGCATTTTCAATTTTGACATTTTTTGGTCAAACCGTTATTGTCTGTCAGTCCTATAATGCAGTTTTAGGGGGTCCACCTCAAAGAGCATGCACAGAGAAGTCAAAATTAAACATGATTTAATGACTCGTAAATGTAAGTACACATTGATGGCCCAAGACATGAAACAAGCGGTTTGTGTGAGAAAACGAACAGTATTTATATCGTCTTTACCTCTTGTTAACAGCCGTCAAACTGATCTGAATCAGATGTCCAACTGAACCGTCTCCAGACGTTACGCCGGAAGTGATCTCTCACGCATCTACGTCATTCATTGTTTACACGGAGATTTCGGAAGTATTACCGTATATCTAAATATGTTTAGTGAAAGGTAAAACTTCCAAAATCTCAGTGTAAACAATGAGTGACGTAGATGCGCGAGAGATCACTTTCGGCGCAACATCTGGAGACGGTTCAGTTGCACCAGAGAAAGTAGACGGGCTTTGGTTGCACACTTAAAAGTTGTTTGCCAACCGCCAATAAAAGAAAAGGAAGAAGAAGAAGAAGACGGTTCAGTTGGACATCTGATTCAGATCAGTTCGACGGCTGTTAACAAGAGGTAAAAACTATATGACTACTGTTTAGTTTCTTAGGCCATCAGTGTGATCATTAAATCATGTTTAATTTGGACTTCTCTGTGCATGCTCTTTGAGGTGGACCCCCTAAAACTGCATTATAGGACTGACAGACAACAACGGTTTGACCAAAAAATGTCAAAATTGAAAAAGCTGTGGAAACAAAGACATCTACATCTTGGATGCCCTTGAGGTAAGCTAAAACATATCAAAAATTAATTTCAAAGTGAACTATCCCTTTCAGCAAATGTACTGTAATGAGGAAAATGCACGTAACGATTCTGCTATTCAGCCAAACACCACACTTTCCCCAATGATAAAAACTGATTTCATATTCTGTTGCTTGGATTAAATGCACTATGTAGATAGATTAGAGAATCACCTTGTTCTTCAAAGAGAAAGGACAATTGAAGGACATAAACATGTATAAACTTTAATAGACAATTTAGTTGAAATAGAAAATGGCTTTGGTTTCCTCTCCCTTTCGAAGCTGTAACCAGATTTGAATTAGTGAAAACGAATCGTTTCAATGGTTTTAAAATTGTTTTGTTAAAGCATGAGTTTAAGTGGTTCTGAATTCAATTTTAGGATTCTCCTCTAGTTTAGGATAATTATTAAGTAACCCTAAAAAATGTTTTTGCCATTGTGTGAGCTAGAGGTCCATAAACTAAATAAGATCTAACTGGAGCACAAGGGGAAGTGGGAAAACTACTCGTATAACTTGAATTCTGTTTTTGTGTTCCATGCATGTCTTTCCATCAGTTACATGCACATGCATAGGACTGGTTTCCTTCGTCAATGCTTTTCCATGTCTTTGTATTCCTATATAAATATTGTTGTATTAATTATTTATAGATGATTATTAGCGATTGATGTTTTTCTTATTCTGTATACCAATTCATGTAACGTCACCTGTATTTTTTTCATTTCTAGCCTCGTGTGAATTTGTCTTGCTAGCGTGCAAAGTCTTACTTCGGTGTTAAAATCAAAATAAACTTTGTTGTGTTTCTTTTTTAAGACAATTCACGTTCTTATCATACTTAGTATTTCCTGAATATTTGACAATATTTTAATAAAGAACAATCTGCAGCCAAAAAAAAAACGTGACTAAAATAGGGCTTAAATACTGACATATGCACATGACTCTCTTGGCCTGACATTCTAATAATGTGGATTTAATGACACCGTGTCCGTGGAGAGGTTTCTTGGAACGTCCATGTCTCAACCACTGGGACAGATTGAGAGTATGGGTTTATATCATAAAAGCTGCCAAAACCATAACATAAATAACAAACCACAAATAATCCACTAGGTTTTTTTCTTGCACATCCAAAAGTTATGAAGTTGTAAAAACAAAGTAACAGCTCACCCTGAAGTCCGATGCTTCGCCTAAGTAATGGAATTACACTAGAGTGATGCTATAGGACAGCTTCAATTTGAAGCAGTATCTCTGAGCTATGACGATGATGGCTTCTTCCCTTTAGAGATGACCACAGCCTCCTCCCCAATCTGATCATCAATAAGCAAAGAGATCGCTCCATCCAACTGCCCTGTAGCGGCCAGAGCAACAACAGCTTTCTCTGTGGGGAAGCCCATCTTCTCCAGCTGTTGCAACCTGAATGTACAAGAGATTAGATGCACAGCATGAACTTAAGCATTTAAGATATCACAATAGATGAAAAAACACTAATTCACACTATGAACTGACCTTAATGAGGACACTGAGGACTTGGGTACTTCCACTTTGTCCGCTTCACCTTCTGGTGCATCGTGGAGTGATGCTAATATCCCTGCTCTCAGCATCTGCTCCTCTAACAACTGTGAATCTGTTGCCAACAAAGGCTCCTGATGCCACTCTGACACAGAATGTTGCCATGCCGAATGATCTTCCAACTGGGATCTACTGGTTGAAGGCTCTGGTCTATTACATAATAATAAAAACATAGTTTGTTAGTTATTCTAGTTGCATGACATGATTTCATGATTGAATTGAAGAATGAGGCATTTATATAGCACTCATATGTACTACTGTACACCCAAAGCATTTTACAACCATATCAATGGGAAATATTGGCAGAAAGTAACCTTATTGAGGTGTTGTGGTAAACTGGCAGGTATGGATGAGAGGTAACAGGAATGTAGGCCCATTTTGGCAAGCAGGAACATGCACCCAGTCTCTCTATTTGCTCCAGTATTTCAATAAACTCATTATTGTCTGTATAATAAATTAAGGGCATTGTTTTATTAAGGCAATAAATATCACAAAATGATATTAGTGTAACACAGATCTAAACCAGGAAGCCTCAAACATCCAAGGGGGCTGCAGGGTGATATAAAATTATCTAAATTAAAATAATTATATATATTTACTCAACCTCATGTTTTTCTAAACCTTGAACACAAAAGAATATCATTTGAAGAATGTGGTAACTAAACAGTTTTGGTTTCGGTTCCCACTGAATTAAAGCTTGATAAAACAACGTTCTTCAAAATGTCTTCTTTTGTGTTGCAAACATACATTAAAAGAGGTTTGGAATGACACAAGGGTGAGTAAATGATGAAATATATTTGACTGTTAGGTGGACTATCAGTTTAACCAAACTTTCTGTTAACAAAAAAGTTGAAAACAGGCAGCTTTGTCATAATACAGCAGAACGCTGGAAATATTTCATATCGGAAATATCCTATATTAGGGAGAAAAGCATCTGGGGGGCCTTAAAGTCAAAAGGGATGAGAAGAACTGGTTTAAAGGATACAGTTGAGTCCCAGACAAATGGCATAAAAATGCAGCAGTCCTGGAGCACTGGGAAGCAGAAAAGGTCGAGGAGCAAGAAGAGCCAAGGCAAGAACCAGACAGGAACAAAGCGCAGGACCCGTCTCTGCTTCACTTGCCGACACTGAGCTGTGAGCAGGGCAAGGTGGGTGGCTGAGTATCCACTAACCCTGCTGGCTTCATCCCCGGTAACAAAGAGAAAAAGGCCATAGATAGGAGGAAGAAGCACAGTGGAGATAAAAGAGAGAGCTAGGAAGACAAAAGTGCCCCATCTTCTCTCCTGACAGGGCCCGATCCACAGCAGCAGGGTGATGTTGTAGAGAAATGAGGTCAACTCTTCATTACTGAAGGCGTAGAAGATAAAGTCTGCAATGAACAAGAAACATTAGAAACTGAACGCCTTCCATGTAAACCACAGTCTTTATACATTCGCGTATTGCTTACCATAAAATCCAGGAAATTCCCCACCTGGTCCTAAACTTAGGCTGGCGTGAATACCACAGAGCCAAGTCAATAAAATGAATATGACTATTACAAATGTTCCACTACAATATCCTGGCCGGTTTGATCCAAACCACATCCATGCTGAAAAAAGATGATCGAGCATTGTAAACTGAAAAACCCATCACCTGATGGGTTTCTATCATTACAAGTATCTATTTAGATTTGAGCTTAGGGCAGGTGTATCATGTAACGTTATCCAGTTGAACTTAATTGTCAGTTTACGACGCTCACGCTAGCATCTTGAGGTCTGTTTTACAAATACTTCAACGAACGAGTGTACGTACTACGAGTACGATGTGCACAAATATATAAATATATTTTTAAACAACTTTTAAATAATAAACAAATAAGACCAAGCTACACCCATACCAATGTCATTCGCCAGCCCTTTTATTTTGACAGCGAATAACTTCCTCTTTCGGACAAGCGCATTTGTGGGAGTCTCCGAATATGTTTTAAGGGATTCATATTTATAGAATAATATGTTAATCTATATACAACTGTTTAATATATTTTAATAATTGTTTGACTCAACTGTAAAGAATATCAGGCAAATTTCATGATAACAATTAAAAACAGATTTATACCTGCCACCCTCTACAATCGGTGTGTTGGTACGTTCCATTTGGTTTCACGCACGCGCACACGTTGCGGATGCTCAGTTCCCCGCACAACGCATACTGTTCTCCAACGGGAAGATGGCGTCAGTCACGAGTGAGTGTATTTTTTCTCTTTTCTTGCTTTAAATGTATTGTATTTCAGTACTTTGTTACTGAAATCCTCGCAACTTAAGTAGATTTCCACAAATGAATTGGAATTTGAGATTGTTTTTTGGATAACCAACATTCCTCGAGCATGCGGCCTAAAGTTTGTTTTTTTGGGTCATGGCGGTCGTTTGAAGCTAGCGGATCGAAAACGCGAATCAACCGGTTTTTAAACTTAGTTTATAGTATGATAAGAGCTTAAATCCCTTATAACGTCAATTTATATTCATATTAACTTGTCTTCTTGTTCATTAAATGCTTATATGAGCTCGTTGTTTCGTGCGTCGTAAACCGTAGCAGGCGTGGTTTAAAAACAGCGGGATTGAGAGAGGAGCCAACATGGCGAACATAA